CCCCGCCGGGGCCCTGCCCCCCGCCTCTCCCTGGCTCGAATGTCTCCTCCACTGCCGGCCCGGGTGGACTTCTCCCTGGCCGGGGCACTGAACGCTGGCTTCAAGGAGACCCGGGCAAGTGAGCGGGCAGAGATGATGGAGCTCAACGACCGCTTTGCCAGCTACATCGAGAAGGTTCGCTTCCTGGAACAGCAAAACAAGGCACTGGCTGCCGAGCTGAACCAGCTGCGGGCCAAGGAGCCCACCAAGCTGGCTGATGTCTACCAAGCGGAGCTGCGTGAACTGCGGCTACGTCTAGATCAGCTCACGGCCAACAGCGCCCGGCTCGAGGTCGAGAGAGACAACCTGGCACAGGACCTGACCACTTTGAGGCAGAAGTGAGCAGGGGGACAGGGAAGATGGCCTGCGGGGCTCAGACAGGGCCCCTGCCTCCCTGCTCCCTGGGCTTTCTCACTTCCGGTAGGGGAGGGCTAACCTTGCTCCCCAACATGATGGGAGGGACAAGAGGAGGCCCAGGGCCTCAGGAACCTGATTCTCAGACACCTCCTGCTGGGAGCAGGGGCACTCTAGGCACCTCCCCACCATTTCAGGAAAGCTGTGTGGGGAGCAGTGAAGGACCCCAGCAGGCAGGGTCTTTGTGTTTCACTCACGGCCGGGCCCTGTGACTGCGAGCAGGGAGCTCACCTATTCTGAGCCTTGGTCTGCAGAAGGTTGGTGTCTGAGGAAGACTGAGCTCTGGGGGAAGAGCAGGCAGGACTGGGTTCAGAGCACAGGTGGCTGCCTGACAGCAGCTATGGCCCTAGTCGCATCATTTTGACTTGCACAGCCATGAAGGACAGATGAACATAAAATCCTATTCAAAAGGCAGTTACCAGGGACCAGCAGGTGGCATGATGGCTATGTCACTGGACTTCCATATAGTCGACCCCAGACTCAGCAGCTTAAAATTCATGCCGGGTGCATGTGCGTGCATGCCCAAGATCCCAAGAGGAGAATGGAGGAGAAGGGATTGCAGCGTGGCTATCTGCTCTGGGGCGGTGATTTCTCGCTTTCTGTCTCTCTGAACTCTGTTTCTCCTGTGAGCACACGTGCTCTATAGCAAAAATCTCCCTTAAAAAAAAGGCAGTTGCCCATACCTGGGTATGGTGTTTTGCTGAGTTGGCAGGGTGTGCATGTGTGCCCTCAAGCACAGCGGACGTGTGTGTTTGTGTGCAGCAGTGAGTGTGCACTGGTGCATGTGCTCGTGTATGCAGGAGCAAGTGCACCCACCTTAAGGCACCTTGGTAGTGACTTTCGGCCAAAGCTTTTGTCTGCTCCGTCTCCCAGCCAAGGCCTCTGTCTATGACCCCTCTGACCCTCACTCCTCCTGCCACTCCACTGGTCCTGGGGAGTCTCTGCAGCAGCCACTTCCAGGGAGACTGAGGCAGAGACCCAAAGGTCTTCCAGAAGAGCCTGGACCCAGGAATGTGTGTCTCCACCCAGGCTTCAAGATGAAACCAACCTCAGGATGGAGGCTGAGAACAACCTGGCTGCCTACAGACAGGTCAGAGAAGTGAAGGGAGGGGTAGGGAAGAGGGGAGAAGGGTTGATGGCAACTCCCACAAACAGCTCCCAAGCTCAGCCCTGCAGAGCAATAAGCTGCCCCTAAGAAGGAGAGGTATGGCAAGGCTGGGGAATGGGGAAGAGGAAGAGTCTGGGGTCAGAGTAGCCCTTTGTCCCCTCCCCACTCCAGGAGGCAGATGAAGCCACCCTGGCCCGTCTGGATCTGGAGAGGAAGACTGAGTCACTGGAGGAGGAGATCCAATTCTTGAGGAAGATCCATGAGGAGGTGAGGCCGGGGCAGGGGGAGAAAAGTCCAACATAGAGCTTGCAACTGAGAGAAGACAGAGACGCAGAGAGAGAGATACTCAGAGAGAGGAGAGAAGTAGAGACTGGCTGACAGAGAGAGAAAATGAGAGAAGAGAGTGTCTTTACACCCTGGTAAAAGCACACATTCACCCTCCGTTTACTGAAGTACAACGGGCCTTGCTGCCTCGCTTTATTTTCTGCACAGCAACCCTGTGAATTGGGAGCCTTACAGTATCGCTTCCTTTTCATAGAGGTCACTGAAGCCCAGAGAGATTGAAGTGTGTGCTAAAGTCACACAGTTCGTTTCTCTTCTTTTAGAGAGATTTTTGCTATAGGGCACACACCAGAGAGAGACAGAAAGCAAGAAATCACCCCTCAGGGCAGGTGGCCGCACTGCGATCCCTTCTCCTTCACTCTCCTCTTGGGATTTTGGACACACATGCACAAGCACTCAGCGTGAGTTTCAAGCCTCCAGGTCCGAGGCTAGAACCGTGGTCGACCATGTGGGAGTCCAGCAATGTAACCATTATGCCATCTGCTGGTCCCCCACAGTTAGTCTCTTGACTCTATCCCCATTCATTAAAAAATGATCTCACTGAGCTGTGATCTCAGATCCGAGATTCAGAATCTGTGAGCCCATGAAACCTGCAGACGCAGAGCATGGCCACCCACAGTCTCTCTCCCATGAGAATGCAGGCACATGTTCAACACCCGGCTCCTCCTCTGCAGCCCTGGGAGGAGGATGCCATGAGGCCTCCTCAGCCTGGGCCCTACCACTTCCTCCCCAAGGGCTGCCCAGCTCCCTTAGCCAATGCCATGCTGAGGGCCAGGCTGAAGAGGGCGAGATGCCGAGGGAGAGCCCTGAGCCCAGTACCTGTCTCTCACACCCTGGCCAGGAGGTGAGGGAGCTCCAGGAGCAGCTGGCCCGACAGCAGGTCCATGTGGAGCTGGACGTGGCGAAGCCAGACCTCACGGCAGCCCTGAGAGAGATCCGCACGCAGTACGAGGCAATGGCGTCCAGCAACATGCACGAGGCAGAGGAGTGGTACCGATCCAAGGTAGCCTACCGTGGACCTGCGTGCCTCCGCCAGGCAGCCCTCCTTACTCCACACAAGAGAATCGGGGATGGAGAGTAGAAGAAACTGGAAGAGTATCCTCTGGGTGACTAACCTTTACCAGAGAAGTGAGATAACCTTCCCAGGGTCACGCGGGCAGCCAGTACTGCTTCCAAAAGTACAGTTGTGAATACTACTCCTACCATGTTTGACCAGGCTCTGTGCTCTGCATGGATTATCTTACTATGAAGTAGGCACTGTTCTCTGATAGTTGAGAGAATGGAAGCCCAGAGAGGTTAACTAATTTGCCCAAGTCACAGCTCCTACGTGGAAGAGTTGGATTTCCAGCCCCAGCCCCTCTCAGGGGAAGCCTGTATTCTATGCCTCTGCCAGTTTATGCCCTAGATTATTGAGCATCTACCGTAGCAGGTACCTTCAAAGACACAGAGAAGCTTCTGACCGGGGTATGTGATGTGCACCCAACCATGGTGCCCATAGAGGACACCACCGGGCAGAGTTTATATGCAGTGTGGGAACCAGGAAAGGCGTCACAAAAGTGGGGGCTCTTGGGCTTGAGCTAGGCTGTACTGGCAGGTTATGGCCATGGAGAGAGGAGGGGTGAGGCCAGTGGAGGACAGAGCCTGCAGAGAGGTTTGCAGGCAGAGAAGCTCAGAGATGGAGGCCCAGAGTGCCAATCTGAAAAGTGCGGGCAGCAGAAGCCAGTGACCATCTTGAGCAGGGTCCAGCCTGGTAGAGGCATGAGGGCTTCCTTGCACTCTGAGGAAGGAAGGGCTATTACAGAACTCACTGCCCCTGGTGAGGAAGGACAAGGTTCAGTCTGGCTGATAGAGCTGCCTGTGTAGAAGGTTCTGGTTTCTGCTGCACTGTTCACTTATTCATTCACTCACTGGGCACCGTGGTAGGTGCCGAGGCCCAGCAGTGGCGACCCTGTGCCCTGGGTCACAGTCCCTGGGAATAATCCTGGCCCGGGTCAACGTCCTGGGTGGTAAGCTGGGTTCCTGCCCACCTCCTCGATTTCCCAAAGTCCATGCCAGCATGCGGACCCATAGCTCCTCAAAACGTGTCCCAGCCCACTCTCAGCCGAGGCCCTCCCCCATGTAGTTTGCAGACCTGACCGATGCTGCTGCCCGCAACGCAGAGCTGCTCCGCCAGGCCAAGCACGAGGCCAATGACTACCGGCGCCAGCTCCAAGCCTTGACCTGCGACCTGGAGTCCTTGCGCGGCACGGTGAGTGTGGGCCAGGCCGGGACGCGAACTGAGGCTGGCGTGCGGAGGGAATCTGCCACCCCAGAAGATGCTGGAAGATAAAGGCCAGGGACAGGACCCAAGGCTGAGGGTGAGGGCTCTGTCAAGTTATTCGGGGCTGAAGGCGGAGGTTGCAAAGCCTCTCTGGGTCTGGACCGGGTCGAGCGCCAGGCGGCTTGGCGGGCCCCGAGGGACCGGCCGGCTCCATTACACAGAACGAGTCCCTGGAGAGGCAGATGCGCGAGCAGGAGGAGCGCCACGCGCGGGAGGCGGCGAGTTACCAGGAGGCGCTGGCCCGACTGGAGGAAGAGGGACAGAGCCTCAAGGATGAGATGGCCCGCCACCTGCAGGAATACCAAGAGCTGCTCAATGTCAAGCTGGCCCTGGACATCGAGATCGCCACCTACAGGAAGTTGCTGGAGGGCGAGGAGAACCGGTGAGCCTAGGAATTCTCCCTGCGGGCCCTCCACCGGTCGGTCTTGCGCACCCAGGGACTGAGCCTTGTTCAGGCTTGAGTCTAACACCCAGCGCTCAGCACAGAACCCGCCTACCACACAGCAGGCATTCAAGAACTGTCTAATAGAGGGAACCAACAGTTAGCGTAATGGCTATGTCGCTGGACTCCCATGTAGTCGACCGCAGTTTGCGTCCTGGACCCGGTGGCTTAAAACTCACGCCGGGCGCTTGTGCGTGCGTGCCCAAGATCCCGAGAGGAGAATGGAGGAGAAGGGATTGCGGCGTGGCCATCCCCCCTGGGGGGTGGTTTCTCGCTTTCTGTCTCTCTGTCTCTCTCTGTCTGGAGAGCGCAAGCGCCCTATAGCAAAAACCTCTAAAAAAAAGAACTGTCTAGTGGAGACCAGCAGATAGTGTAATGGTTACGAAGTCAGACTCTCACAGGGCTGGCCGCAGTTAGATCACACACCCATCACAGACCCAGCAGCTTGAAACTCACGCAGCTGCGTGTGCGTGGGTGCCCAAAATGCCGAGAGAAGAATGGAGGAGAAGGGATTGAAGCGTAGCCATCCCCCCTGGTGTGTGTGTGTGTGTGTGGGGGGAGTGATTTCTCGCTTTTGTTTCTGTCTCTCAAAATCTTTTTTTTTTTTTAAAAAAAAGGACCGGCAGGTGGAGTGGTGGTTAAGGCGGCTGACTGTGGTTCAAGTCATGGACTTGTCAGCTTGCTTTGTCACTTTCCTTCTCTCTCTTTCTTTCTCTCTCTCTCTGGTCAACTCCAAAAAAATAAAAATAAATAAAATAAAATAATGACAATGAATATCATAAAAATAAAATGTCTGATGAATGAGCTCAACCAATATTGATTAGGTCCCAAAGCCAAGGACTTGGGTCACCCTACAAACTGAGAGGCTCATTCCTCACATACCCCAACAAAGACTAGACTTTTTTTTTTGGAGAGGTTTTTGCTGTAGGGTGCATGCACTTGCCAGGTAAACAGAGAGAGACAGAAAGAGAGAAAGCACTCGCCAGAGGGGATGGTCACGCCACAATCCCCTCTCCTCCATTCTCCTCTTGGGATCTTGGGCACGCATGCACACGCGCCAGCGTGAGTTTAAGCCACCAGGTCCGGGACTCGAACTATGGTCGACTACATGGGAGTCCAGTGACATAGCCATTACACCAACTGCTGTTCCCGATACTGGACTTCTTTTCACTTGACTGATCTCCTCTACCTCTTTGGAACTTGCTTCCCCACTTTCCTCTCTCCTCTACCATGTTCCAAGCCTCTGCTCTCCTTGGGGTAGAGATGTCCCCCTCAAAGGAAACACCCAAGCCTCTTAAAGATGTTTGAGGCCACAGAGTGTGTCTTGGCTACTGGGGAAAGCTAGGAGATGGGTTATGCTGTCCTGACCAGGAAAAGAAACTCACGGTTCCCATGAATAACCCAGCCCAGAGCCTAGCCCATGATGTCATGGGACAGTCTGGCCATCCCTGTCCCTCTGCTTTCTTTCAGCATCACTATCCCTGTGCAGACCTTCTCCAACCTGCAGATCCGAGGTCAGTAGAGCAAGGGATGGTGGGAGGATGTTGGATTCTTGCCCCTCACCCAGGCCAATGGGCTCCTTTGGCCTGGGGCTGAGAACCATAGCAGAAGGGCCCAGGCTTTCCTTGGGGGCCTTTACGTTTCACTGCAAAACTCCCAGCCAGAACACACTGTCCCAGGCACTTCCAGTAGGGCTGCAACCACTCCTGTCCTGCTCTACCCTGTGCTCCACCCCCTGCCTCCCTGCACCCCATCCCACTGCAAAATTGGGTGAGGTGTCCGCCTCTGCCCTGTCTGCAGATCCCTAAGCCAGCTTTCCCCACCTGAGTGTTTATGTTTTTTTGTTTGTTTATTTTTAACTGCTTGTCACTACAGGGGGCAAAAGCACCAGAGAAGGGGAAGGTTACAAGGTCACAAGACATCTCAAAAGCTTCTCAATACAAGTTATACCAATACAGGCTCAGCAGATTGTAAACGGAGCCCCGGCTCTCGGTTAGCTGCCTGCCTCTCAGTCACAGCGCTTTTCTCAGCCTGCCGGGGAGTGAGCCGCACCAAGCCCATTTCACCAGGCCTCTTGGGCTCCCTCCTCCCAGGTTTCCCTTAGTGGACTGGGACAGTGTCATTTTCCCAGGACCTGCACAGGGTAAATGGAGGCTAAACTCACAGAGCTGGTTAGGGCTCAAAGTGGTATCTCTTTGGGTGCTCAGATGAGATGCACTGGGGCAAACACCAGCCTCTTGCTACTGGGAGGGCCCCTTGGGTCTTGCTGGGCCTGGTGGCCAGAATCTCTGCAAGATTCATTTGTCCTGGAGGCTCGGCTACTCAGCTCAGTGCTGATTCAGCCCAGAGGATTATTTCCCTCTGGATGGCTGCTCTGGTAATGAATAAAGCTTCATGTTCCTTACCCTTAATTTTAAATATTAGTGAGCATGATGCGTTATATTGTTCTCTCTGGTGTGTGTGTGTGGGGGGGGAACTAAGTTACTTTTTACTTGTAATATGGTCCTCAAATGATTCTTGCTGAAAGAAAGGAATTCCTTTCCTTTGGGGCTAGAATATTTAGGGACACTGGATAGGCATATCCCAGGTTAATTCAGCATCAGAAGGGTTAACCAGGCTGACCAGGTAGAGGTAATACTGCCCAGTACTAAACAACCAAGGGTCACGAGGACATGGATAAGTGGCATGGAAAAGGAGGACAAGGGAAGAAGGGACAGGGGCCTGCACTGAGCACTAGTATATGCCGTTTGCTTAACATACACCATTTTAATTAGCGGACTCCTCACTCCCATCGACAGAAGCAAGCACCATCACCCCCATTTTGCAGATGAGGAGATGAAGGCTGAGAGAAATCCATTACCTCGCCCACAGTCACGTGACTGGCTAGTGACTGACCGGGGCTTGAGCTTGGTCTGCCTGATTTCAAAGCTCCTGTGTCCTTCCTTGGTGCAGCGCTGGGTTGTCACAAAGCCAGGTGCCAGGCAAGGGCTTGCAGAGGGACTGAAATGAAGCCAGGCTAGATAGCAGATCAGAGCTCTGGACATGGCAGCCAGGACCTGCCCAGCACTGCGGGGATATGAGGGTCTCCAGCCCCTTTGGGGGGGCACAGGCCTCCCTGCCAGGCTGGATAGGCTGTTACACTCACAATTGGGGTGAGGGATGAGGAAACTGGGGTGGGAGAGGATATCTAGTGCCCTGAGAGCCCATGGGAGGCCTCCTCTCCTTGCACCTGCAGAAACCAGCCTGGACACCAAGTCCGTGTCAGAAGGTCACCTCAAAAGGAACATCGTGGTGAAGACCGTGGAAATGCGGGATGGAGAGGTGAGGAGGGATGCTAGCCCACTCAGACCCTGCCTGCCCCCAGGGTTCGTGAGCCTGGGCTGGAAAACCTGGGATCAGCACATAGAAGCTCCTCCATAACCCCCAGGAGCTACTCGGGGAACTCTGGGAGTGGGGAAGGAAGCTGAATGCAATGCAAAGCCTTCCTTGGCAGTTCTAAGGGAAGCCTGGGTACCTTGGCTACTAGATGGGGTCCTCACTCAGGCTCTCTCCTTTTCTCACCCTCAGGCCCAGGCCCCCAGTGCCAGGCCTATAGGAGAGAGAAAGAGAACGACAGATAGCAGCTTTGACTCCCAACTCGGCTGGACAGTGGAGGAGAGGGGAGGTTTTCCGCTTTTTAGCCTAGTAAAAAGAAACTGCCAGGGAGAGCCAGTGGTGGTTAAAGCGACTGAATCTCACATGGCCAACCGAGCAGTTGGAGTCCTGGACCCAGTGGCTTGAGAAACACGCTGGGTGCAATTGTGCACATGCCCAAAATCCCCAAAGGAGAAATAGAAGAGAGGGGATTGCGGCATGACTATCCCCCATGGAGGTGCTTTCTCTGTCTCCCCCCACCCCTTATCTCTCTGCTGAGTGCAGGAGCACCTCCGGGAAAATTTTTTTAACAAGAGAAGGAGCTAATCTGACACCATCGGCTTACCATGTACCAGACATGGTGCTAAATGCCATAGGGTGCGTGCACTCACAGGAGAGGAGAGACAGAGAGACGGAAAGTGAGAAATCACCCCCTAGCAGGGCTGGCCATGCTGCCATCCAGTCCTCTTCTTCTCCATTCTCCCCTCAGGATTTCGGGCATGCATGCACATGCACCTGGCATGACTTTTCTTTTAAGAATTATTTTATTGGGAACCAGCAGTTAGTGTAATAGCTATGTTGCTGGACTCCCACGTAGTCGACCACAGTTCACGTCCCGGACCTGGTGGCTTGAAACTCATGCCGGG